GGGGGGGGTTGCGGAAGAGCAAAAGAAAATTGAGAAATGCCTGTATTTTGCTGCCTGTCCAGTTTTTAAAAGGGGGCATGCATTGCAATCATAGTTTTAAAAAAGTTCCAGAGAGTATAGCCGAGGCAGCCTGCCGGGGCTTAACTGAGTCGGGATTTGAGAGGTGAGTTTTTCCCTTATTAACAGCAAGTCCTGGGAGAATTGAGAAGGTATTATGGTTTCTAATCAGACCCAGAACAGGCAGAGTATAGGCTTTCTGGATGAAAAAAAAAATCCAAACAAAAAAACCTACTTAATCAGGAACAGTGGCTTTTTGTGCGATCATCTAGGCAGAGGGGCTCCTGTTTTCAGGGAGGCGTTGAGGGAGTGGCTGAAGTTACTCAGACCTGAGACTGGCCGACCGTCACTCTAGAAACCCTAAGAGTAAACCGAGGAGGAGAAAAACCTTCAAGACCAGGACTTTAGATTTTTCTCAGTGGTTTTTGCCGGGCCCAAATGGAATTTGGAATGAAAAAATACAGGGTTTGCACTTCGTTTTACTTTTAGGAATAAGAACGGTGTTAGAACGCCTTTCTAGTTGAGTTCCACACACTCAGGTAGAGTTTAGAAAGACACCCAAGGCTGGCTCATGTCAAGTGTGTTTCAAGTCCAGAAAATTATAGCCCTGGGACACACATTTCCTATTCAAGTAAAAACAAACAAGCAAGAAAAAAAAAAAAAAAAAAGAGAGAGAGAGAGGGAGAGAAGAAAAGAAAAGGAAAAAAAAGGGGATTATCTGATTTTGAATACTTGATGGTTTTCTGCAGGGAATATTTGATGTTTTTTATAACCTAAGGATCTACTAATTTAGAATTGAAAAAAAAAAGTAAGTGCTTTCCTTGTTAAAGTAATGAGGGGATTGCATATTTTTATGGTGAACATTTTGCTGAGCCACAGGTAGGTCTGGGAGCTGACTCTGTTTTGTTCCAAGCGCTCGAAGAGTGGAGGGACTGAGTGACTCAGGTGGCTTTGGACCGTTGTTGGCTAAGGGACAGCTAAAGGACTGTGCGTCCGGATAGCCTGCGTCTTCGAATTTTCTTGTGGTAACAGATACCTTTGTGGGGATCATCCCTGAGTTTTATGAGAAGAGGCCAAGATGGAGTCGCCTTCTCCTGGGAACCCTATTGTGTCTGGCCCAGAGCCTGGCTGACCTCCCACTGCCTCATCCAGGTCCTGAGCTGGGTGGGAACGAGGGCTCTGGTTACACCCGGCCAACCCAGCTGGCAGCCTTTGTGACGTGGGTCTCTGGATCTGCCCTTCTGGGCACAACCCTGCTTCCCCATGGGCAGCTGAGCACAATAGACCAGATCGGGTTTCTGGATGTGGGGTTCGTTTTCTCCCCCAAATACTTAAAAGTGGGCGAGGATGCCCCACCCCGTACGTTAACAGGAAGTCTTTTGAGGACCCCAGCAATAGGTGGCCTCTATCTGAATCAGGATGGGGAGGTTTTTTTTTTTTCTCTTGGCTCTCTTTATTATTTTTTTGAGTTTTCTAATGATTTAAACCAGCTCCTTACTTGTGTGAAATAAGTTGTAGTCAAGATAGCATTGTTTCTGTTTGCTTGGCACTGGGGGACAGACCATTCCCCAATCTGCTGTCAGCCCTAGCAGATGGCCTCAGGGAATCTGCCGGGGCTGAAGCTTTTCTGGACTTCCCCGTAGATTTAATGCAGCATCGGTAAAAACAAAAACAAACAGCAAAAACAAAAAAATCCAAAAAACCCCCCCAAAAAACAAAAAACGCTGACCCCAATGATGTGCAATTGCCTAACGATTTTTGTAGAGGTAGTGTGGGTTCTCCTCACCTGAACTGCATTCCAGCTAGAGTCGAAGGGGTGGCACTCTGGCAAGGAGGCCAGAGCATGGCTCCCCCTGGGTGAAGCCTCTGGAGAAGTTGGGAAAGTGCAGGGAGCTGCTGTGAGCCACAGATAAGAGGGTCTTTTCTCCTGGCCTCGCCTGTGTCTGCAGGTGCGCGGCAGTGAGAGGCTGAACGAGGTGATCCAGTCTGAACAGCACAGAATTGCTCTGTGAAATTCCCTCCTGGGAGGACCCGGATCCCAAGTTGCAGAAAGCCAATAAAAAAGGTCACCTGGAGGCAGAGGTCCTAAAGAGCCCGAGGGCCAGAGGGCCCCTCACTGTCCAAGCTGGTGCCCAGCCCCGGCCTGGCCGGAGTAATCTTATCTGCACCACCGGGGACTGGGCGGGAGCCCCTTCCTCCAGCTTGTTTGCACCCTGTCACCAGAGCACCCCACTGCCGGCCTTCAACGTGGCTTGTGTCACCTGCGCCCCCAAGAGCCATTTCTGCTGCAAGCCGCACCTTTGCTCAAAGTCTCTGTGGCTCCTGCATGGGCAGGACCAGCCCGACTCCCCCACTGCCCACACCCTTGCCCCTACCCTGGTCGCCAGCCAGCTTTCCTTTGTGGGGAGCTTGGGCTCAGCTAGATTCAGTGACCCTCCTCATGCCATATCATTGATCATCTCACTCTCCATTTTTCCTAAACCACTGGCTTGGAAATCCCTCACCCTCCGGCTCCGGGGGCCACCCACCACCACCCTGTTGCCTTCTTGCCCTTCTTGTTTGGCGGGCGAGTTCTTGGGGGACGGGGCATGGTGATTCCGGTCTGTTAGGCCCAGAGCAGTGCCCTTTCACAGAGGAGGCTCCGCAAACATTTGGGGGCTTGAAAAGGCTGATGTTTGTCTCAGCTCGATGAGGGGTTCCGAAACGCCGCTTGTGGACTCCTGTTCCCTGTGATGGCCTCAGACCCCTGGTCTTGGTGGAGCCTGATTTATCACTACTGATTTCTGACTGTGGACGCACCGAAAACCCGCCTCGTGCTGGGTATGGTATCCGAGGCTGCGGGGCTTGGGCAGGAGGGACGTGGAGGGACACAACATACAGATGTGTGGCCTGGGTGGGGGATGAGGCGGGGGGAGCCGGACGAGTCCCCTGGGATAGGAGTGGCTAAGGGGGCTGGTCAGGAAGAATCTTCCTGGTCTGTGATGGGGATTTGCCAACACGCCGAAGGCCGTTTTGGAGAACAGCAACCAGGCGCCCGAACGTGTGGCAGGCTCCACCGCGGAGGGACTGACTTTGGGCCAGAGAGAGGGCCTGTTTTCTGCAGGCCGGCTGCCACCCCGTGCAGACCACCCTTGGGGACGTCTAATTCTGACTTGACCGCCAGCTCCCTGGGTGAGCTCAGGCCACCATTTGGAGGCAGCGAGATGCCTCGGGCCACTTGCCATAGTTCACTCGTTGTGGGGGATACTAGGTTGATGAATAAGGAGCCTGAGAAGTGGGAGGCACATCTCTCAGGAAAGTCCTCACACTGATCAGGAGGAGCCTTCTGCCCTGGGGCTGGGGGTGGTGGATGAGTCCCTTTGCAGACCCCAGGCCAGTGGGGAGGACGGGCCAGACGCTGGGTCCTCCGCAGGCCATAGGAAACTTCCCTTCCTGTCCTGGCGGGAGGGGGACGCTCCCTGCACGCGGTGTGGGACAAGGTTGGGAGCACGTGGCCGCTGTGGAGAGGAGAGTCAGAGAAAGCACGGGGAGTGCCCGGGAGAAGGGAGCGGACGGGGGCAAGTCCAGCTCTCTGCCCTCAGTCGGGTCTCTGGGCTCTAGGACAATGGAACTTGAACCGCTAATACTCTGTGAAACATCCCTCCATCCGAATCTACCTAATTCTTGCTGTCAAATTTCAAATCATACCGAAGTTTATGGAGTAAAATCTACAAAGCCCCCTTTGTGCCCCCACCGTACCCTGGCCGCCCAAAGCTTTATCCTTCCCGCTGGTCTTTTTTCTCTGCCTGCGTGCACTTTTTGCTCTGGTTTTTACGTTGGTGTATCAGGTATGCTATAACTTCCGTGCTTCACAAAAGCAGACCCCCTCTGTCTTCTCAGAGCTATATTATATTTCAGATGGTGGATACGTGCTACTTTATCAAACCATTCCTCTCCCAATGGACATCTATGTTGTCTCCAGTTTTTTTGCTAATGAAGAGTGCTTTAGTACCTGCGTGTACGGTTGGGGACAGGTGAGTCTTTCGAGAGGAAAAATGTGTGAACTTGTAAAATCAAAAAGCTGTAGAAAATTCAAAGCCTTGTTTTTTTTCTTTTTGTCAGGACCCTTTACGCAGATGCCTTACCCCACTGAGTTGTAAGTGGGTCTCATCCTCCCGCCTGCCCTAGGGGAGGCTCCGAGCCCCCAGGGAGCCAGGCAGTGTTCAGGTGTGACTGACTCTGGAAGTTTTTCCCAAGCTCTGGCCCCGGGCTGGCAGGAATGGAGTTGCCGGTTTATCCCAGCAGAGAGTGGCTGGTCCCAGTGGGAGGAGTGGTCTCCCCCGGGTCCGGGTCAGACCACCGCTGCTTCCCAGCATGCACAGACCAGCGCACTGGCCCAGAGGCCTGACCGCTTAGACAGGAGCGCGGATCCTTCCCGAAGGACGCAGAATGCTGTCGGCTGTCTGGGTACTGGCTGAGGCGATCTGCTCTTGCTGGAAGGCAGCTGGGATTCTGGTGCTTGACACTCAGGGAGTTAAAGTGGCCCCTGTGGTCCATTAGGTGGCCCCCTCCCTCCACCGGGACAGGAAGGGAGGTTTCCTATGGCCTGCTAGGAGCTTTGTCGTCAGGCCTTTGGGATCCAGGGGCCTGGGTAGACACTCCATAGTTTGCCATATTGGTGGCTCTGAGGGTGTCACTTGAGGAAGGTTCCTGTCTCCGGCGGTGGCCACACACGGTCGCTGGGAAGGCATCAAGTGGACGTCCCTGCCCCAGCCCTCCTGGTGGACACTCGCTCGGGCAGACGGGCCTTGGCAGCAGACCACATGGGACGTACGGTGCAGATTGTCTTCGTCAAATCATATTCTTTTCTGGAAACGGCCCTGGATTGTTTCCAAAACCAAATGCATGAAAAATAGCGAAAGGACGGGGCTGAGCTGTTGTGAGTCATCGTTCCCTCCTTAGTCCCCCGTTCGGATTTGCAGGGAGTTTGAGGACTACCGTTTATTTCCTTTCCTCTCTGCGCCTCCTTCCTTCTCTTGACCACTAAGGCCGCCCGCCCTGGGAGGGAGTTCCGGGGGTCCCCCTGGGGGAGGGGGTGGTCAGGGCACGGGCCTCGGGCTTCAGCTCCTGGGCTGATGGGTGGTGGGAGCCCGGTGATGGGGGGTGAGCTGGCTTTCACGCTCGAGCCAGGAGCCTCGGAGCCTCTGTTCTCCCCTTCAGCCCTGGCTGGAAGAGTCTCACTGTGCCCCCCGAAGGCAAGGGAGAGGACAGCTGAGGGGAGCCGTGCCCCGCGAGCAGGTAACTCTTCCGGCTCAGAGGACCGGTGAGGGCTAAATCAGGTCCTCATTGCCCAGAGGGCAGAGGTGAAAACCAAGTTTGGGGCCCCAGCCCTCCCCCACCGTGGCCGGAGCTCTGGGATTAGCAACGGTTAGCAGCCCCAGAGGGTGGATCTGGACACCTTGGCCTGGTAATTTCCAAAAGGGCAGCGTGTGAGAGGCCGGTGACTTCTCATAGACCTCCGCGCCTGTGTGGGTCTGGCTGTCCACACTGAACAGTGCCCGGCGCCTGTCTGCTGAATCGTACTGGAGGCCCGGGCTCGCTGACTCCTTGTGGTGAGCAAAGAGCTGGGGGTGCTTAGACCCAGTCAGGCTAACCAGGGCTGGGGCTCATTCCTTCCTTTTCGGCCCGTGGACGGTCCCGTGGATGGCCTGGACCCCGGGCTCTGTGGCTGTGTGTGCCGAGGCCTTGTAGGGCTGTGCCGGTGCGGACTGAGGAGGGAGCTCTGCCTGTCCCGGGCCCACCTCTGCCCAGCTGTGGGGCTCTGGCCTGCCCTCCAGCGAGCCCCTCCGCTCTGCAGGGACTCCGGGGTCAGATGAGGTCATGAGGCGAAAGCACCTCATAAACTAGGCCATGCTGCAGGTGTGCTTCATTTTAAGGAAATGGGAGAAAAAAGGGGTCACCACATTAGAACCATGAAATCCTTGCTTTGTTCTCTTCTGGAATTGGGGGCTTCGAGGGATGGGAAGGGGAGGGTCAGCCCCAGGCAGGTTAGTGGCCAGGAGGAGGTGGAAATCGTAGCTTCAAAGCACGCCACCCCGAGGCCGGTCCAGTGGGTCAGGGAGCCCTGGCTCCTCAAAGGTGTCCTCTGCTGCCCCTTGTGCCTACGTCCTTTGGGGGTCCTTAAGCTGCCTCTTAGGATGGGGCGGTCCAAAGTCTCGTACGTGAGGAGTTTCTTTGTCCTAAATGTGATCGTGCTGAGTCTCCCCGGGTGCTTCCTGTGCTTGTGTGTCTGTCTGGTCTGGCCCAAGTTGGTGGTCACAGGGCGTGGGGATCCTCCTGGTGGGGTGCTCTGAGGACCACCGGCTTCCCGGCTCTGGGCCCTGCAGCTGGGAGGCCCAGGCTTCTCCCCTCAGCAGCGGGGACATGGGGACCTGCTTAGGTCACTGGGACAGGGACCAAAGGCCACTTTGAACATATAGAGAAGAACTGCCCAGAAGCCTGCAGGTGGTCTCCACTAACTGAGATTTAGGATTAGGTCACCTGCTGTGAGTTTTGAGGCTAAGGAACCAGTCCTGGGAGGCAGCAGAATGTCTCACTCGTCAGGGATTCTGTTCTGAAGGTAAACCTATCAAACTGCCCCTCTCTGCTCTCCCCTGCATCTCCCTCCAGGCAGGGACATGTATTACTTAGGCAGTTAAGAGATCGTTTCAAATGAGGAGCAAGAATTAAGGGGGGCTGTGCTTTTTGCCAAAGGGACAGGGGGTGGGGTGGGGTGGGGGTGGAGATTTACAGAGCATCTGCTATGCACTAGATTCTGGATTGGGCCCTTTGGTTCTTGGGTGCCTCTGTAAGATGGTGCTGGTGTCCCGAGAATGCAGCTGAAGACAGGTTAGCGAGTCAAGTTTAACAGCAGTGAGGAAGGAATCAGGATTCCCACCCAGGAAGGTCTGGTCTCGGGATGGGTGCTTTTTCCAGCTATGTGTCCTCATACCGTTAGCATAGGTGGATCAGGGTTGCTCATCCTCCTATGTGACCTGGGGTCCACTTTGGATGAACTTGGCACAGAAACTCGAGTTGGGATCAGTCATTACCTATGACCCATGAGAAGGAAGGAAAACCACCTTCACATATGAGATCACTCCTAGCGGGGTGCCCTTGTTCCCAGGGTCACCCAGTGGGCTGCCGACCCAGGGCCGTGTCCTGCAGGGATTTCAGGGCCCTTGAGTGGTTGGGGCCCCAGTAGAAGACAGCTCTCCTAGCTGGGGCATTTGGGGAGAAATGACCATTTCTTGGCACAGTGGTACTTTGGACTGAATTCTCTGTGGATATTGGTGACAGTTCAGAGTGTTGGCCTCATGTTAGGTCAGCAGGAGAGACAGTTGAGACGATTGCCGCCTATTCCCCCCGCCCCGAAGTGCGGCAGGTCGTGACTTTTGTGCTTTGCACAAGTTGTAAGAAGGGAACCTAGGCAGTGGCCCACAGCTCCAGACAGCTGGGCGGCTGCCCTTTGTTGAAAACCCCACGACAAACCCAGGGTCTGCAGGTTCGGGGTGCAGTCAAGCTGCAGGGCGTTGCACACCTCTGGTCTTCATGAATGAGAACTGAAGGTGGCCCAAGACCCAGGTTTCCGTGCACATTTGGCAGGAAGGCAAAATGCACTGAGTCCCATTTTTGTTGCACACGTGGGAGGGGATCTCAAGCACTCTCATTAAGACACCAGGGCAGGATACTTATAATACAGCAGTGCCAGGAACAGATGGACTCTGCCGTTCTTTGGGACATGGGGAAAATGGCTCTCCTGTCCTCTGCTAGGATTGAGCGAGCCGTCAGCGTCACGGTGGCTGTCAGACATTTCTCGGGCCCCCGGACCACGCCGCTCTCACACCATGGGCACAGCCAGGCTGGTGATGTCTGGAGAACACAGCCATACGAAGAGAGAAAGCAGTCCCTGTTTCTCCCTTAGGCACCGCGCAAACCTAGATGCCAGGCCCATTTTATGTCATGTGGAGCTCTGCTACGCTTTTCCTTTTCTCCTTTCTTTGGGAAGACACCACCGAGCATGTGGAGCGCCGGAAAAGCGTCTTGACCGGCACTCCGGTGTTTCCTAATGAAGCCACTTTTCCATTGCATCCTTTCTGTTTGATTTTTTGCAGGCCGTCTGCTCGCTGCCCACAGCACCATGGATCTGCACCTCTTCGACTACTCGGAACCAGGGAACTTCTCCGACATCAGCTGGCCATGCAATGGCAGCGACTGCCTCGTTGTCGACACGGTGCTGTGTCCCAACATGCCCAACAAGAGCGTGCTCCTGTACACGCTGTCCTTCATTTACATCTTCATCTTCGTGACCGGCATGATCGCCAACTCCGTGGTGGTCTGGGTGAACATCCAGGCCAAGACCACCGGCTATGACACGCACTGCTACATCCTCAACCTGGCCATCGCCGACCTGTGGGTGGTGGTCACCATCCCCGTCTGGGTGGTCAGCCTCGTGCAGCATAACCAGTGGCCCATGGGAGAGCTCACGTGCAAGATCACCCACCTCATCTTTTCCATCAACCTGTTCGGCAGCATCTTCTTCCTCACGTGCATGAGCGTGGACCGCTACCTCTCCATCGCCTACTTTGCTGGCACCTCGAGCCGCCGGAAGAAGGTGGTCCGCCGTGCCGTCTGTGCACTGGTGTGGCTGCTGGCCTTCTGCGTGTCCCTGCCCGACACCTACTACCTGAAGACCGTCACGTCGGCATCCAACAACGAGACCTACTGCCGCTCCTTCTACCCCGAGCACAGCGTCAAGGAGTGGCTCATCAGCATGGAGCTGGTCTCTGTGGTCTTGGGCTTCGCCATCCCCTTCTGCATCATCGCCATCTTTTACTGCCTGCTGGCCCGAGCCATCGCCGCATCCAGCGACCAGGAGAAGCAAAGCAGTCGCAAAATCATCTTCTCTTATGTGGTGGTCTTCCTTGTGTGCTGGCTCCCCTACCATGTGGTGGTGCTCCTGGACATCTTCTCCATCCTCCACTACGTCCCCTTCACCTGCCAGCTGGAGAACTTCCTCTTCACGGCTCTGCACGTCACGCAGTGCCTGTCGCTGGTGCACTGCTGCGTCAACCCCGTGCTCTACAGCTTCATCAATCGTAACTACAGGTACGAGCTGATGAAGGCCTTCATCTTTAAGTACTCGGCCAAGACAGGTCTCACCAAGCTCATCGATGCCTCCAGGGTGTCGGAAACAGAGTACTCCGCCTTGGAGCAGAACACCAAGTGACGCGCCTTGTGGGGTCTCCGGGACAAGTCTGCTTGCTTTCTCCATGGCACTGGCTTGCGTCGTTCCCAAGAGTAAAGCAAGGTGGCTTCAGGGTTTGAGGCTGGAGTCGCGTGGAGAGGGGAATGGGGGCCGCCGAGCATCCTTTCCCTCTTTCTCGGGCTGTGGCGGTGGCTCTCATGCGAGGCTGTGCGTCCTGATGCGTCCACGGCCCGTCGTGTGTCTAAGCCTGCCTCGGGGCAGGCTAGCCTGCACTTCTGTACAATAGGACGTTCTGTGTTCCCTGGAGGTTTTACATGGTGATTTGTATTTAAATCTTAAGACTTTTATTTTCTCATTATCGGTGTACCTTATAAATGTATTGAAAGTTTAAATATATTTTAAATATTGTATGGGAGCTATAATGCTGACATATATTCAGAGTGTTGTAGTTTTAAGGCTAGTTGGATTTCAGTTTTGACTAAGGATGACATTAACTGTTAGCTGTTTTGAAATTTTATATATATATATATATAAAAATCTATAAATCTATAAATCTATGCCAGTCCTGGCTGAAATGTTTTATTTACGATAGTTTTATATATGTGTGGTGCTCTGTACCGGCATGGGATATGGAACAGGAATAACTCTGTAAAGCAGTTTGTGATATTCATAGTTTTGTAAAGTTACATTAAAAAGAAGCAAAATGGAGCAAAACTGTTCCAGGCTGCAATGCTGTGCACAACATGAACAGTCTCGTTTCAGAGAGTTCTCTCAATTTTGTAAGTTATTTTTTTTTTTAAATAAAGATTTGTTTCTCCTAAAAAGGCATCTGAGTGTCCGTGTTAAAAGCATGTTTGGCATTCAGGTGGCATGTGTGATAATAATAGTACAAATCTATACCGCATGTCAGCTTGACCTAATATGCTTAAGGAAAGAGTGCTACCATAACGGCAAAACCCAAGGGGTTAACTTGGATGCAATGACATAAAAGGAAAAACATTCGAGCGTATTGAGGGTTTTGGTTTTTTAAAAAAATGTCATGCAACGTATTTGCGGGAGAAGAGATGGCTGATAGGTGTGGCTTTCAAGACCACGCTGGTGCTAGAAGGTTCTCGGCTGCTGTTGGCCCAGAGCTGTTCAGGACCCAGGACTCACATCATTATGTGTACCCCCATGTGCTCCCAGGGCTGCATGTCACAGCCCCTTGACACTTCTCTGCTAAGGTTCTGTGGTTTGAATCCTGTTTCTCTTTCTGTGTACAGGACAAACTCTTCATTTAAAAAATAACACCAATCAGTGACCGTCTTCTTGAGACCAAGCAATGAGCAAATTGTCAGTCTGTGCATTACCAAATAAATCCACTTGACGAGTGGCTTCAAAGAGCACGGTCAGAATGGCCGGATCTGCTGTGCTCTCACCAATGCTCTGTGGGTCCACAAGAAAGAATGGTGTAGGCCTTAGCAGGCAGGTGCATCTGGGCTGGCAGGGGGAAGGACCGGCTCCCCAAAGCTGCCTTTACCACCTCCACCTCTGATAGGACTGATTTGCACAGGGAGCTGTTTGCCAACACAAGGATGGACCCCGGCCAGGAGCTCCGCCCTCACCTATGAGCTTGGGGGCTGCTACCATATTGGAAAATCCTTGTGCACCTCGCTCCCCCCCCTGACAGCCCCCCATGGCCCACAGACCAAGCCTGCTGCAGGACGGCTCCTTATGGCTGAGAGTTTTCCAACCAGGATTATAAATTACTCTAAATATCTACTTGATACACACACATGTTCTCAGGTGCATATGTGCCTTGCCTTGTTCCAAACAGCGTTCCGGTTGGATAACAACAGTGTAGCTAGTGGGACAATAGCTTAACTAATTGCCTCCAGGGTGTCAGAAACAGAGTACTCCGCCTTGGAGCAGAACACCAAGTGATGCGCCTTGTGGGGTCTCCGGGACAAGTCTGCTTGCTTTCTCCACGGCACTGGCAAAGATCCCAAGAGCCAGGGCAAGTAAGAGCAGATGGCACGGAGAAGTCCTTGATGCATGCCCCAGACAAGTGTTCCTGACATTAGGAAAGGATTGCAGTTTGCTCCAAGCTTCCTAGTGGTCTAAGTCCAGACAGAAATAAGCTCTACCAAGTAATAAATTCAAGGTGGAGGCATAAGCCATAAATAAGCTCAGCTGTGCAGTAGGTGTAATATAAGAAGTAATTCCACCGAATTTCTATTTCGAGGTCCCATATCCATCAATTCAGAGATGCTCCCCACCCCTGCCCAGTTACCCTGGGATTTTGGGCAAACTCTGCAGGCAGTGATGTAGGGAAGTGGGGGTGGTCCTCACTGTCTGTTCCTGCCAGGAACTTCAGAAATGCCCACCGTCGCCTGCCTGGTGCTTATGCAGGTCTCCTCTGTCCTCTTATTGCAGGATCTTTTTCTGTTGCTCCCCAACCCCACGTTGGGTTATGGGGGTGGGACCTGCCCTGGCCCTTTTCTGGTTTCTGACCACCCTTCGCCCACAACAATCAGCCAGCTGCCCCCTCCTGCCCTGAGGGGTGGAGGGCAGGCGTGCAGATGCTGAACAGCTGCCCCCTCCTGCCCTGAGGGGTGGAGGGCAGGCGTGTAGATGCTGAACTGATTCTAGACAAACCATGCAGCCCTTTTTGCTTTGTGAGATTCCCATCTCCGCCCAGACCCCAGGACACGGTGCCCTCAGACCACTGTGGGGTCTCTGGTGTGCAAGCTCCGTCTCAGGGATGCTGCGGTGACGAAGCTCTCTCTGCTCCTAGAAATCCTCTTCTTTGCCCTGCCTGAGGCTTGAAGACTTGCTCTGATTCATCCCGGTTATATCCAGGCTCCAAAGCCCTTCCTTTGATCTCTGGCTGTAACAGCCTTCCCGGGACCTCTGGCTCTGGACTGTGGCATTGCAGGTGGAGTGTGGAGGCACGGGTCAAGGGGTACAGAACTCTGAGGGGGGCGGATAATGAGTTAATATTAAAGAAATTCTGTCCTACCCATGTGGATGTAGATGTAGATGTGGAGTTGGGAGAAGGAGCCATGTGCCAGGTTTTAGATAGGAGGTGGGCTGTAGGGGGAAGAAGTTTAGTGCAGAAGCCCCCAGCTCTCCTCAAATTCATTGTCCAGAGAGCCCGAAGCTGACATTTATCCCTTTTGAGGTTCATTCGCTTGGCATCCCTTCTGATGGAACGATCTTTCAAAATGCTAGCCTCACGAGATGGTAGTGAAGTTGTGAGTGATTTTGTGCACGATGGCATTTGGACCTCAGGAGGGGTGGCTGGAGCTCCAGCAGAGGGTGGGGGGTGGGATGGAGAGAGAAGCGGCCTGGAGCCCCCACCCCACTGGAGAGAGGGGGAGGCTTTCCTCCTCTCCCGCCTTCCTCTGACCCTGCTCCGAAGACAGAGGTCGGCCAACACCAGTGGCCCTGATCTGATGGTGGCTTACGTCAGGGAGTCACTCGTGAATGCTTTCCATGTGCGCCAACGTATACACAGCTTCCTGGGTCCCTGTGAGTGAAGAAGAAAAGTATCGCAGCCGAAAACACCAGATGTAAAATCCTGTGGGCATCAAGGAATAAATCTGTCCCCTGGACGATGGACTTCAGCCCTCCCAGTAGGCTCAGGGCAACCTGGCATGAGACCCTGCAGACGCTTGTGTCCAGATCTCTTACTGGGTAACAAGAAATTTAAAGTCGACAAGCTGGCTGTTTCTGGAGGTCTGAGGGAGCAGCTCGAGCATGTGGCCTATTTATGAGGCACCTGGAAATTCTGCCTCGCTGGGCTTCTTCTCTCTGGGTCCAGGTGACTCCCTATCCACGCTAAGCCCAGTATCTCAGAAGCTGGGGACCCATGGGGAGCTGTGGATGTGCACCAGATGGGGTCGAATGCAAAGGGTGATAAGTGCAGAGAGGTCCCCGCAATCCCCTCCTGGAGGTTTGGGCTTTGCTCCTAAACCCCAGGCATGTCTCTGGGTGGATGCATGCCCCTGATGTTTCAGTCCTCCCAGGGTGATGGTTTCCGGGGGGTTAAATGCTTGAGAAGATCTGCCAGTGTTAGAAAGCACTTCCCACCCCATGTCTTAGTCCCAGAATTCCCAGGGAAAGCCCCTTACATCCTGGATGGTGCACAGATATGCAGTTCCTGTGAGCAGCCCCAAATCTTGACACCAATAGCCCTTGAGATGGAATGATTGTAGTTTGGCTAAGGCGTTATAGGAAACCGACTTACTTATGGTAGGCAGTTTGCATTTGCAACGATTCTTCAGTTTCTTGGGATTGTAACCCCATCCTAAGCTGGGAAGACCTGTGTATCCAACCTCTGGTGCACTCACATTATTTTCCAGGCTTGTTTGGTGGGTATGAGTGGGTTTCTGTTCACCTCTGTATGGCTGCACGTCACGGAACCCGTGGCCTCTGTCTAGATTCCCCAGGGCCAGGCTTTTCAAGGACTGAGATAAATGGCCACGGGGGAGGATTCTCACTGAAGGAGGGGATGGTCATCTGTATGGGACAGGGAGAGTGATGGGCAATTTTGGCGTTTTTCTTATTTTTCAAAAGCTTCATTTTTGTTGGCTTTTCATATGCTTATTCCCTCAGACCTTTCCATGTGGGATTCAGAACGGCTGCCAATCATATGTCATTTCTCCCGACGTGTTGGGGGACACGCGGTGATCATCAGCCGTTTGTCACAAGATAATATGCCGAAAGCCACAGAACGGAAAGATCTGAATTTCCATAGTTATTTCCGGAACTAAACTGATTAAAATCATTTCCTAGGTAGGTCGGAATCTTCCCTTTAACAAGTTTTAGAAGAAACAGTAAAGAGAGCGTCATTGTGGCAATGGCATTAAATCTGCTTGGGTGACTCAGAATGTATGTTGGCACGGCAACATATCATGGGGCGAGCCGCAAACACGACGTGTCGGTGGCTGCCGCACGTCTGAAAGAGCCCCGGGCTCTGCTATACCATGCTGGATTTGCTTCCTTTTAGCCTTTCACATGAAAGTGTTTGAAGCTAATCTTTTCATTCCCTTTTGCAGCGCTGTAATCAATAGGAAGAACGCATTAAAGGTTTTCCCGCCGCTGCATTTCTCAGGGTCCTTGTTGAAAGTGCGGATTGTGTTTTATGCGGTCCTGTAATGAGAATTTGAATTTCGTGTGGAGCCTGAAGTGTAAATGAAAAGTCGTCAGTGGCCCAGCTGTGCAACCGATGGATGTCTTTCTCTGCAATTTATTCCACACTTGTTTCCGTTAATGTATTCATCCATCCATGCACTTGTTCATTCAATCACGGATCCCACGAGCTTTGTGCAGTGCCCACTGTGTGCCAGGCACTGTGCTTGTCTTAAAAATGTCAGAGACGGCCAGGGCTTTGTTTTTCCTTTTGATAGGCTCCCAGCCTGGAAGGGGAGGTGGACAATGAGACAGAGAAATCGTTACAGGGCAGTGTGGTGAGAAGGATCCTGGTGGCCCTTTTCTGGAAATAGAGCTGCCGGGAGGGAGTGAGCCTTTACAGAAGGAATCAGGGAAGGCTTACAAAGAAGGGGTGCTCCTATCCCAGCCCGAGGACAGCCGGACTCCAGTAGGCAGGCCCAGGGGACACGGGATGGGACAGCAGACTTCGGGAGAGTCGCTGGGATGCCGCCACTGTTAAGAGTAAATGTGTCACGGAAAGGGGAAGGCATCCGAGAGGTGGCCAGAAGTTAATGAATAGTGACATCATTCATCACTGTGTGATAGGAGCTGATTTCTAAGTGGGAATTAAAGGTCTGAATGGCCACCCCCACCCCCACCCCCACGGAAAATGAGGCTTTAGCACAAGAACG